AACCCACTTTATAAAAGCGACATCTGTCATGTATAAGCAGAACTATAGCGACATCGCCCAAGTTTAGGTACAGAGATTTGATTTTTCAAATTAGCCGCTAGGTGGCGTAGTTACAAAATGCTAAATAGGATGCATTATTTTTTTGATTTGCTATTTTCTTCACGTAAATAATTATGCAAGGGAGCCTTATTAATTTTAGTTATATTGATGATGGCCCTGATCTGGTACCTCAATATAGGAATATTGATATTTTTATAGCTATTAAACTTTTAAGTTACAGTCATTAATGAAGCACAGCAATGAAGAATATAACCCTTTTAAATATTTATTGGACGTATAATATTTTTTAGTGCTTACGTAGGTTGGACTTTTTATAGTAGATAGAGATTATTAATCTTTTATTGTTGTGTTATAATCTGTAGAGTTATGTCAGTCAGCTATTTGATTTTCTCCTGTACGGTGTACAACAGTATGTTCCGAGCTCGTATCGGATCCGTACGTTGCGCAGCAGTCACTGCATCAAAAGTCGTATAGCCAAAAGGCTGCAAAACCTATGCAGATTTGATTTTCTTCATTGGTTGCCTGTAAATTAGTGTTCTGTCAATAATGATTGTTATAGCACCGTCTGTTACCCATGCGGTTACACACACCGCCTTTTACATATAGGTATATGTATACTTCTAGGTGACTAGACGTAATAATATGGATGTGTGCTTGCTAGATTTTCAAAGTAAGAAGAATGGAGAAAATCTTCCGGACCAGACCTTCGTTATCAAAAGACAAAATCTTTAAATGGGATAGGGCAGCAAACGAGCATACCCATCCTTCGTTCCATATCCAAGCAATCGTCAGCGCCCATTGCTTATCATCGGATTACCTACTTACTTACTTACCATGTGATTAAAGATTGGAGGATTTATGTATTATAGTATGGCATGATGTAAACTCCGCCATTAAAAAAAAATAACAAAACATCGGTCAAGCCTCGTTTAAATTAAATCCCCATAATAAAAGTACGAAATTTCTACATTCAAATCTCTTACCTCATCTCCACAAACGCTCACTCTCGCTTCAAATAAAACAATTTAATCAAATCGGAAACCTGTATCCGGCGCTTGGGACGGATCCAATCACATATCGACCTGTCAAATGACGTCACATGCCAGTGTCAAGTGGGCACTATAAATATTAATCTGTCAGTTTGATCGTCGTCGGTCACCCACGCTATCGTAAGAGGGCATGGCCTTACTGCCAACTACTAAAATATCCATTAAACTATTGATTAGTTTATGATTTTACCTAATGGACTTTAAGTATTAGACTTAGAACGCTGTGTAGATACTATGGTTAGTTTTTGTATGGGAAAAATCACCAAATGACTTGTCTCGCTCAGGTGAGGCGAAACAAGAGGAAGTGTCAGACTCTTACTGACTAAAAACCCTCGTTGTCGTATTATGTTTATGAGTTATTTTGAAGTGACTTCTGTGAGTTCACGCTATTACTCCGTTAGAGATGACCCATACGTGTCAAAATATGGTTCTTCCAACGTTTTCAATCAAACCTGCACACACTGACAATTTTGAAAAGTCAAAACAATTTTGTTTTGGCACCGGAAGCAAGTTCATTTTATATCACCAGCTTAATACATCCTCACTGCTAAGCAAAGGCAGGATTGGCTGTCAGTTGAAAATCATAAGTCAGGTTTCCTTACAATGTTTTCCTTCGCCGTATCTCAGTGGTGTCTAATTAACCAACTTAGAAAATAAACATACTGCAGAAGAAGGCAGATTGGTACCAACCAGGTTTCAAACCTTTCTCGTGTATGAGAAAGTGCGCTTTAATCTCCAGATCACCACAACAGACAATTAAATACTTCTGTGCTAATCATTTTTGGGCCCCTGACTTGATTTGAAACAAGCCGAGTAATGCAGAAACCGTTCAACCTGTAAAGAAATAATTTCCTAAACCCTTTAGTTAAGGACTCAACTCAAGTGATGCTTGAATTGAGCCCAGAGTTAAGAAGTTTAACGGTGTTTAATCATCCTGGCCCGGAAAACACGTTACGTAATTAAAATTGTCTTTTAGATTTTATAATACTACAACAATCCAATCTTTAAGTTTTCTAAAAAGAGGTACCTACGCAATCTCTATCATATCATCAATAGTCACCAAGAAAAGAACAAGAGACATTAATAAATAAAATAGATAAGGACAACAATACAAATTACAAATAGTTAGGTTGATAGTCACACAATAACAGAAGTTAGGTCTTAATGATAAGGAAAATGTAAATACAATACTAACGGAAAACAAAATGTTGGTAGGTATAATTAATAACCAGGTAGTAAGGTAAATATGGACCTACTATGTTGTCAAGCCATGCTTTAGCAGGAAGCGACTAGTTCGATCGAAAAGATACCAATGCCTCACAGAAAACCGACGAGAATCAACTCCTGTGTCGTATTTCGCTGTGTGAGTAAGGTTTCATCATTAGCCTATAAGTGCCCACTGCTAAGCAAAGGCCTCTTCTCACACGGAGAAGGTTAGAGTATTAATCACCACGCTTGCCGCTTTGAGCAAGGTTGGCGATTTCAAACTTATAATTAGAAATTATAAAGTATATAAATATGGGTTTCTTCACGATGTTTACCTTCGCCGTATGTCAGTGGTGTCTAAATAATCATAGAAAGTACATATAACTCAGAAAAAGTCACATTGGTACTTGCCAGATTTCGAACCCACACCCTCATGCAGGAGAAGCGGGCTCCTTAACCTCCGGGCCACCACCACATCTATAATTGTCTTGTTGTGTCTTTATAATTGTCGAAAGTGCATAACATGAAAACTGTCACATTGGTTCCTGCCAAGTTTTGAACACCGCACCCTTATGGATGAGAAGCGGGTGCCTCCGGGTCACCACGACTCGGGTTAGGTTACCAAAGGTCGAATCCTTTCCTACTCCTTTTCTCGAATGCACATCCCTAAATACCAAAACCAGCCCCAGCGCAACGTTTTTTGACGTTCAAAAGTGCCTGTAAAGGTCTAATTGGAATAAATGATTTTTGACTTTTGACTTTTGCAACAAATGCCGCAATGTAATGCACTTATTCCTTTTGTTACTCCTCTGGTGTGGTGGGTGTCTATGAGCAGCGCTGACTCCTCGTCACTAGAATCAGCAGTTGATGGATTACAGTATACTCATCTCCCATAAAAAACATCAACCATACTTCATATTTTTTTATTACCCTTGTGTAGAAGAACGTACAAGAATGACAAACCATATTACTTTCTACAGATAAAAATGGAAGTCTGCCAAACACTTTCTCAGAAATGAAATTTAAATGAAATTGTAATTTTTCTCTTAAAAATAATATCGCTGAGTAATATTATGATCTATTAAGAAGGAAAAAGGTGTGTATAAAAATACAACGCTATTTTTTAAAACACAGAAAGGGTAGACCAAGCAAGTGTAGCTCCTAAGGGGTAGCAACCACCTTTCCCAGCCACAGATGAGGCCCCCTAGTGCTTATATCCAGCCGGTGTTGTGGGTGGAAGCGCTATAATGTTCCGTGACCCCAGCCCGAAGGAGGAGAAGGACAGGCATAATTGATCTCACACAAATTGTTACCACCTTTAAATGTACCTATTTATGGAAAAGCAATAAAGATTCTTAGTTTTATGAAAAAATTAAAAAAAATATGGAAAAGACTATATAGTCCTTTTATATAAATATTATTTTATTGATATTGCGAGTTCCACAGTTACTATTAAGATTATTTAAATTTGTAAAAAAAAATTAAAGGATTTTTTTCCCTTTCTTGGAATTTATTCTGCTTTGTGGGTGTGTTTACAAACATATAGATTTACATACACATCACACCCAGACCATATACAACAATTTGTAGATCTCACAAAGTGTGTATGCGGTAATCGGTAATCGAACCCGCGACACGTGTCAAAAACATTGTTATGGAAATTCTTTAAAACAAGTAGCTATTAAGATTTAACACGCCTTATACTGTTAAAACGTTGTTTCTAAGTACTGATACACTTAAATACAAGAAACAAGTTGTCGATTAAATCAAAAATCTAATAACTGCTTCGGTCTAGTAGTGATAAATGTAGATTATAGGTTTTAATTAAGCAGGTCGGAAAAAAATAAAAAAGTGCATTATAATGAATTTCTTGATAGCTAACTATGGGTAAAACTAAATTTATGGGGATTTTCACTCTTACTGAAAACAGAAAAACTCTTAAGGCGTGTGACACGTTAGTATAGTTATTATTGATAAATGAAATTTCTTGAATATTTTTAAGCTACGCTTCGGCCCCGATTTTCATTCAGTGAGAGTCTAACAATCCCTCTCGTTCCAACCAGGGTAGAAGACTTGATTGGATGAGTATCCCCCTACAAAAAATTGGCCCCGACTGGCTCCGAGTTTCCCCACACGCCGTACAAATAAAAATTTTCATAAAAAAAATCCTATAACGTTGTTTGCATCTGCCTTAAATTGTGCCTAGTTTAGTTATGGCGAAAAATCTGATCAGACTTAGGTAACTAATTCTGTGAAGTTCAACTAGGCAGATAAGGTAAAATGGTTTGTTGAGAAAACACGCTTGCTATAAGATGATAACAACAAAATATTGAGTCTTTTCAAACATCATTTTTAACACAATGACAACCTTCATTTTTGTCCTGAAATATCCTGAAAAAGTTTGCAAATCCTTGCAATACATTAGTATTCACCAATCGTAAAGGAACTGGTTGTTTGGCGCAGCGGGCATATGTGACTGGTTACTAGGGAGTAGGAACGGTATGCGTCTAGACTTAAGACACTGACCAAGGAGAACAATGCAGTGAGAGGGCCACCGTTCACGTTGCATAGTGTACTAGGTACGTCGATGCCTGTGCAAGTTCTATTTTCGTACGCGGTGTCGAGGACCGATACGCGCATGATCGGCAGCTATCTTGTATACTCTGTGCCGAGTCAGTCCGCTCGCCGCACCATCGAGCGCGGCCGCGCGCCGCGTACCGACAACAAATAATAACAAACGCGACGCAACGAACGAACGTGAACGTCAAACAGTGTGAACCAACCAGTGATTTCATTTTACTGTATTAATATATCAGCATTAATCGTTTCCACCTTGTTTTGTAAATTATAAATCCTACGAAAATGCGGCGAAACGTCAAAATCCTGTTCCTTGTGGGAGCTGTGTGGATGTTTTTCCTATTTTACTACATGCAGCCTGATACTACACAGTCTAAGGTACGTTTGTGATTTTTGTGCTCTTTGTTTAGGAATTGTGTTCGTTTGGTAGGTAAGTGTTGTTTATCAGTGATCAGCTGTTAGGTCGAGTGAGGATCGTTGCAACCTCCGGTAGGGTTGCACTGCGCATGACTAGTGCCGCCTACGCGTTTTGATAACTGCAGCCTACAGGACTAAATTAACATCAAAAATCGAGGTTACTCTGTGAAAGTGTGTAGAATAATGTTACAAAATGTGTTTTGTAGAATATTTTTAACTGTTTAGTTTAGAATATTTTATTTATACATATGAAATCCTTAAGAATAGTGTGATTGAATTTTTTTCAGCTTCGTGCAACAATATTTTTATTTTGCTAAAATTGTTAAATTAAACCTAGGTACTTACGAATGTTGGTAAGTGTTTTAGTCTTGGTAAGTTTTGTTAGAAATATTTATAAATAGGTAGAAATTAATTGAGAAATTGCTCAACCCATAATAAAAAATACTATGAATGTCTAGAAGGCTGGCGTAATCGTCAAACGATTAAAACCTTTATCGAACAATAAAGATTAAAAAAAATAATGTCTAGTAGCAGTGGCAGCTAGTTATAAACTCGTAGATAACATGCTGCAGTTAAGATTAATAACAACTTAGATCCTGATTAAATGATACAAGCAAACAAACGAAGTAATTAAAGAACACTGATCAACGCCAATTGTTATATCAGAGGCGATTTTGTTAAAAAACTTACTGAGAGATTACTGTTATTGTAAAAAAAAATGCCCAAAAATGCAAAGCAAAAATACAGTAGTGAATAATACGAGCACAGTAATTTATTTAGAAATGGCAACTCTCTCGACCGAATCTCATATTTTTTCCAAACTTACTCAATAGTTTTGTGAAATATCTGACTTGTCTTGGCGAGGCACTACCGTACCCCCAAAACTGTATCTCATTCAAAATTCACTGTGATTTTTTTAATGCGTGACGATTTTACCAAAATCCCCTTACTCGACCGTGCATTTTTAATGGTTGTTCCAAAAATAATTAGTTTTTTCTTTTTTTCAAAGAATTTTTGTCAAAGAATTGCATGACAACAAAATCATTTTATATAGCAAGACTTTATAAATACTTGTATATTGTTTAACTAACGATCGCAATGTCATAAAATCACATCGTATAAAAGACAAACGGTAAATAATAACCAAAGAATTTTACTTGAAAATAAGGCCATATTCATTAGAACATGACCAAAATGATTTTCACTTTTTCTTCACTGGAGTAAACCAAGCCGATCTATTTATAAACTACACACATACATAGTTATAAATGTCACAAACTAGTTAACCTTCACAGAATCCCCACTTACTCGATCAGACTCGATTTATACTGTTTTAAAATGAAACCTGATTATTCTGTTTTATCCTTGAAGTTAAAACTGATGATTTTTTATTTAATTTACTTCGTGCTAAAGCTAGAAGGTGGATGAATTGTCACAGCATTTCAAACGATGAATTTTCTCAAACTAAAGTTAATGATAATTATTAACTTTAGCAGAATTATTCTGCTAATATAAAGACATAATTAATTCCCTAATCATTTTTAACGTCTTCCTCTCGTAAATGTTTGACGAAAACTCTGCTGCCGCTTATGAATAAAAGCCCTTAGCATAGGTTGAAACTACTCAAGTTGCTCGTCAAACCGTTACGTATGATAATATGACGTGAATAAATCGCGATCCAATAATTTAATACGCCTCACAAACCAAGTAAAAAATTAAACCTTGTCACTGCTTGAAGTGCACAAGAAATTAAACAAAAATATTGACGCAAATATGTTACTAATATGCTTAATAGGCCAGGACGATAATGAGTTGTTATACATAATTATAATTTACAGAATCAACCAGGAACACCAAGTAACACCGTTAATTAAAACGTCTCGCTTTGAAATAAGATCGTAACGGAAAATTTAATTACGCATCCGATCCGAACATGGGAATCTTATCTTTGATGTATATTTTCAGCATTAAAATAGTATTTTTTCCAATTTTACGAAATGATGACCGATCCAAAATTGTTCTCATTTTGTTCTAAGACTATGTGTCTTAGCTTCGCACCAACCACAAAAATTCTCTGCACCGCCCTATGGTTGACTGTTAGAGAATACCTTAAGGCATTAAGTCCGCCATTCAGACTGTTTTGTGTGAAGAAGAAATAATAAAATTTGAATTTCGAAACATGATATTAACAAAATTTTATTTTTCGTGATTTTGATAGTCGAATAAATCGGACAGACTTGAAAACAGTTGGCAACTAAAAATAAGCAAGACAAACCAAAATTTCTATCCATTTTTCTTAAGTTCATTAACATTTTAACGTACCGTCTAACTTGCTTTGATAAAAAATCTAAACACCATCAATATAGAACCCACTTTTCCAGTTTAGATAAAAATATTATTGAAGGCAAACAAGTAACTGAGACCAATGGAAAAATAGGAACCGACAAGAAAGCATTTTTTTATGTATCTTGGTATGTTTTTGTTTTTACACAACTTTAGGCCCACGCTATCATTAATTATTACTCAGTAGCACTACGAAGGAGCAAACTTAATGATTTTTCTTACTTAAAAAAAAACAACATGTAACTAGTATTTTTCTCTTTAATTTATTTATACTTCATGCAAAATTTGTATGTACATAAGCGGACTTAATGAGCACTGAGCATTCTCTACCAATCGACCTTTGGGTGATGCAGAGAATCCAGTAGTAGACTTTAATCTTTTTGAGTTTAATCTTTTGTTACTTTTCTGGTAATAGTTATTTGAAACACATCACAAAAATTGCGATAGACCTTGCATAGGATCGTTACTTTTTTTAGATTTCTATCTCAAAATTGTCTTTTACAAATAAGATTTTTAAAATTCTAATTAGTTTGTAGGTATCGCTTATGTTTTCTCAGTTTTGGAATAGGCTTTTGCATCAGTGGGACAGTTAAAGATAGTTATGATAGCATACAGAAGAATATTTTATGCTTCCCGGTCAGTTGCGTTTTATGACTTGATTTGGTATAGAAGTTCGAAAAAAACTTGAAATATTTTAAAATTATAATTCGCTTTGTATTTGTTTTGTATTACATTAATGATCCATGGGTGACGCTGGGAACTTAACCATTACTTGCTCTGTTTGTACTTAAAAAAGCTTTCTTCAAGATTGTTTCTAAATCTCGTCTTCATTATGTTGTCAATTTATCTACATCATCAACCTAACGGCTCCTTCAAGAAATCAAAAAACCTAATACGAATTAAAAACTTTTTTATTATTTTGGATAGCATCCGTCAATAATTTGCATGTTGCATGGTCAACTTTCATAAATTCTTGTTTCTAACATTACTAACAATAGCTGTAGACACTGGCGTATAAATTGTTTCCTGTTCGGACCTCAACTGACATAATCTAATGACACGATAGAAGGTGAAAACATCATCAGCTTACAAGTCTAAGCAACTACACATTGATCGGGCTCAAATTACGGGTTGTTCGATATGATGTTAAGACTTGTTACTCGTATCTCATAAACCAGTTTATTCTAGTAAAAAATTGCAATAGTTACATAATGTTAACTATCTTAAATTTTACGAAAATTGTGCCTTTTAATTTTGTTTTATTGTAATCGCAGCCGGCTGTGGTGTCGGAGAAGCAACTGGATAAATTTTGGTTAGTAAGAGTCTGACACTGCCTCTTGTCCCATCCAAGGCGAGATCAGACATCATAATATAGAATCGAGATATCATTTGATATTTTCATAAAATAGTAGACAAATAAATTCTGAAATTGCAAATCTTTCAACATCTTCCGGAAATAAATACATTATTTAAAGATCTATCTATAATCTAACTCTTTTGATAATTGATATCACCGGGACCAAAAATATCAAAAACATTAAAACTAATGCAAAAAACCATTCTTGATCCGTATGTGACGCAATAATGTGATGCAACATCGTTGTTTAAAGCATATTTTATGTACTACAGTTAATTAGCAGTGGTTTTTGAACAAGGCTTGGATAAGATTTGTAGCAAATCCTAGTTTATACTCATTATACAGATGTAGAACTTTTTGTAGGAAATGAAACACCAGAATGTATATTGTTAAAACTATTTTCAATAAGTGGAATAACAGCATTTTTATATTCCTTAATCTTTAATGTCCTTGGAAGGCATCTTACCATGCACTTGCAAGTCCTCTGGTGTTGCGGGCGTCCAAGATCCTGGCATATTTGTTTACCACCTTATCGCGAAAAAAGGTCATTGTCGTTTTCTATGGGAATATTAAAGCTTAGAACTATGTATGTATGTATGTACTAACTTTTTGTGTACCACCTATAATTATATTATTAAATGTTTAGGTAATTGGTGATCTTTCATATACACATCATAACGGTTGCATTACGAGTATAGACCGCCTTAAAAAAACAACAGCAGTGTGATTCTGTAAGACTTCATTCTAAACTTCGAATCTGAATCCGCCGTGAGTAGTAGTACACTAGCGCTACACTTGCGAGTTGAACTAAATTGACAGCATCATTTTGAAAGATAAAGTATGAGATGACGTTAAAAGTGGCATTCTAAAATTTAATTTACCCGTCACTTCGACGCTCACTTCGCACTCGAACACGATTCAAAATCAAACAAATTTTATAGAATCGACGTACAGTTCGTTTTTCATTTCGATTCACCTAAGATATCAAACAAGAACAATACTCTAGTTTGTGTTTATTTCTAGTTATCGAAAAAAAACTCTATAATATACTGGTTAAGTTACACTTTCCATTTCCTACAGTAACATTAGCACTTAGCAGATGCTATCTTGTGAACCACTTTTAATTTTATTGTTATACAATTTGTGGAATGAAAGTAACAACGGACTACAGTGAACTCAATGACGTAAGCGCCAACCGTTTTATATATAACAATTATATTTAATGCTAACTTCTACCCGCGACTTCATCTGTGACTGTAGG